GAGGGGGGGGAGGGCTCTGGCGGGGATGGGCAGACCCCCTGCCAGAGCCAGGGCAGGGAGCAGGGGGCTCCGGCTGGGATGGGCTGTGCCCCCTGCTCCCAGGGTGGCTGAGCGGAGCACCTTTGGGTGCAGCCTGGCTCCGGGCATCAGGCAGCCACAGGCAGTGTTGCTTCTACGCTGCTGAGCTGCACTGCAGTCTCCTGACTCAGCCTTACAGCTTTCCTAAATTACCCCTGGCTCTTCTAGCTCTTAGGAAACCTACCCCCAGCTTCTCCCAGGCCAAGGAAAGGTGGCAGACGCTCCCCAAGCTGCACCTTGTAAAGGGTCAGGCTTATGCCAAAGGCTGATGTGACTTTATTCAAGGACATTTCCAGACTGTTTTCTTCTCTTTTCCACAGCACGCTGTAAAAACCAGCATAACATCCTCTCTGCTATTGCTTTTGTGGGGCCTGCCAGATCAGGTTACACTGGAAATCAAGATATGGATATTTTATCTTTGTCCTGCTTGATACTGGGGAGACATTGAGATCCGCAGCAGGACGTTTCCATGCAACATTTGACCTTTGTTTAGCACATTTGTCGCCCTGTCATTTGTCATGCTGAATGCGCACATCCCCCTAAGCATCCCACGTTTTGGAAACTACCTTCACGTCCCAGCACCGGCAGCTCGCTCCCACCGTAGCCAGTTTCAGGCACCGCAGCCTCCTGGCCGCCCAGGACTGGAGGCAGATGCCCGAGAGCATCCAGCTGCTGCAGAAGCAGGTGCCGTCCCTGTGGGAACTCAAGAGAGGAACTGAGCATGATGGTCCCACATCGCGGGGTCTTAATCCTTTCACCGAGAGGAGCCAAGCTGGAGTTTAGAGAACTGGAAGTCAGAGAACAAGCAGTCGTTTGTTCAGAGCGGGCGGCACAAGGGGGAGGACCGCCAGCTCCTTCCCGCCCCCGCGGGACTTACCGCCCCTGAATGTCCCTTTTTGTCCTTCTCCCTGCATCTGCGGCCGGTGGGCACAACACCGCTCTGTCCAGCACGGGGTCGCAGCCCCTGCCAGGGCCCGGTGGCCAGCAGAAGAAGAAGCAGGGTGGCTACCGCCGGCCATGGCAATGCCGACCTGGCTGCCAGGACGATCTTTCCCAAGAGGAAGTCTGCCAGTGCTCTTTCCATGAAGGAACATACCCTCTGGAAGGGCAAAGGGGTGGGCCGTGGGGCGGCTGGACAACGCACTTGTGCCGTTTAACAGACATCGGAGCCACCAGTGCCGGAGAAACATCTGCCTTGGAGAGGGGAGCATGAGACCGCTTTTAAAAAGCGTTAAGCCCAACACCCTCAAAAATTACAGCTGTTTAGTATTACTAATCTGAGAAGGGCTGAACCCTGTCACCTATTGCTCAGTCTTTATCGTAACTCCTATCAGAAACTCCAGTTTCGGTAAAAAAGCGTGCATGTGTGAAAGAGAGAGGCAGCAGCAAGTCTTGGCAGAGAAGAAACAAGAGCTCTGTAGCTCTCTACAAGCGGGAGCAGGTCTCAGAGGAGCCTGTCTGTACCCAGCTATGTTAGTAAACTTTGGAAAGTTTTGGCCTACAAAACCACCGGGTTATTTCCAGTCCCAGCGGTGAAGATGGGCCTTTTGGACTGGATTTTCCCTGTTGGCTGTCTTACCCCTAGTTCTGACTGCATGACTCCTCTGCAACGAAGATGGGTATCGCACTGCTCTGGTGCTGCACAGCTCCTCGTTGCAGGTCGAAGCACTGGGAAGGTGGGTACAAACTGGTGCATCCAGGTAACCCCCGAAACACCATCTGAGTACCATCATCCATCCGATCAAATGAGCAGGAAGTTTTTTTAAAATAAAAATACTTAACATTTATTCACCTTTGAAGTCACCATAGTAAAATTGTACACGCTATGAGTAACCCAGGAACGTTATTAAAAGCTACCAGAAACGTAAGGCAATTTGTACAACCATTGAAAGAAATACACAGCATGTTGAAAATGAGAGCGTACTATTACTCAAACAAGACAACGCTTGATACGCACTAGAGTGACAAGAACCAGCATTAAGTTTTAAACAAAAATAAAGATGTCATGGCTACAAGTATTATACAGTGATAAATACTTCAAAAATATATTAAGATATATGGAAATTCTCGTTTTGTCAAGGAAATCCAGAGAAATTCCAGCCTCCACTGGATTTCAATATACCAATTAAGGTTTAATATTTAAATTCCTTTCCTTTCAGTAAGAACCAGTATTGCAGCCATTACCATTCTGTATCAATACTTATCTTCTTGTAGTGTCATGAAATCAGCCTTATGTTATATTAAGCCCTAATGCCTCTCACATCGCAGGCACTAATCGCTCTAAATCAACCAACGAGTTGCCTTTCGGTAACAAGTGCTGTGCGCCACGTTTGAAGCCAGAAACCATGTTAAATCACAGTCAACGTTCGCCCACTTTACAGTATTAATGGAAGGCGGGTTCAAAGACTTGCCTCCATGCAAATACAACATCTCAAACAGAGGGTTTAGTAGCAAGTCCACCATAACGTTTTCCTAGCATAACATCGAGCACTCAGAAGTTACAGTACATGAACCATGCTAAAGTTTAGGTTACACCTTCAAAAAGAAAGTCCGGAGGATGTTTGGAGACGACAGGTTTTGAACATGCACAAATGGTGGTTTAGTACACATTTGTTTGTGCTGTTACTGGGTAGCGAGTGAAGCAGTTTATAGCCAAGGATTTGGTGAGACAGTTTTCCGAGCCAGTTTAAAAATATAAACTTCTTCTTAGAGGGTCTGTTCTATAGAAAATAGAGTGAAATCTGGTAAATTGTCAGTTTTGAGAGTACTTTCCCGTGGCAAGATCCGTTCATCAGCCTACCGCACCACCAAGAGAAAAGCCAATCCTGCTATTCCAAACCCCGCTGCGGCCATGATCGCGCTGCTTATGGTACTGCTCTGGTCAGCCGGCTGGGAGTCGTGTCTGCCGAAGAAGCGACAGAAGCCGTCCTAGAAAAGCAAGAGAAAGGGCATTGAGTTGGGTGGCTTACAATTAACCGGATTTCTTTCAACAAGTCTTTGAGCACAGTTTGGTTCACACTCCCAGCGTGGCGTTTGTCAGCTGCAGAAGCCTGCATTTTAATCATGAAGGTCTAAGCCTGCTGCCTTGGGCACACAAAAACGCTTTGTGGGAGCCTTTGCACAAGGCAACCAAAAGCAGTAGCTGCAAGTGTTTGCCCGCTTTGCTCAAAAGACAATTGAAAACTTCCTATCGAGATGCTCAGCGTGTCATTACGTTATTTTTGCCCTTTTAGGCAAGTTTCTGATGGGAGCTGCCAGCATTGTTCCCCCTCATTCAAGTTTCAGAAAGTATCTGAAACGCAGGATATGGAAATTTCCACTTGAAAGGCAGGAGCCCGAAGCCGGCCCTATCTCAGTGGATGCGGGACTGCTTAGACGCTCTCTTGGAAGGGCTAAGTGGACGCTGCTCGGAGCTGACCTATGACAGAGCAAAGCTGGCAGCTGCTCTCCCAGATCGTTATTTGTGATAATCAGAAGTGGCAGCAATACAACTCCAGATGGTCATGTTTGAACTCTGCTCCGCAGATGTCTATGTAAACAAGTTATACTCTTAATTTCTTCCGGAACTTTGTTCTTTACACTTTAATTTGTGCGAACAGGCAACGCGATTTTGCCAAGTGACAGCGTACACTGTAACCAACCACCATACTGTTCCGAGCAGTCAGATGGACCAGTGACCGCTGGAAAACCAAGTTCATTTTGGTCTCTGGAAAAGTCAACGAAAGCAGTGGCTGCTTCCCCCCCCCCCTTCTATTTTTAGTGCTTATTTGTACTGGCATCAAATATTCCGCTAGGACTGAAAATAGGAAATGTGCAGTTCTGCGGGATAGCTGACATTTTGTTCAGAAACGCGGGCTGAGCCGCACGGACGCCTCAAAGCCGTACTTTCAGCGTGCATCTCAAGCAGCAGAAACCAAGAGCAGCCATCGCTTTACATTAACGCTATTGCCCACACCTTCCCCGAGCCCCGACCTGACCAGTTCCAGGACAAGCAGGAACCAGAGCAGCAGGTCCAGCGGATGGGTGGCTTTATGCACAGGCGGTTTTAAGAAGAGGTACACGGGTGTTTTGTGTTTACACTCGGGAGAAGACCTGTGTCAGCCCACTCTCCCAAAACACAAGGGGAAGGCAAACCTTGCCCCCAGAAGCCAGCAGCATCGTTC